GTTTGTGAAATAACCTCCAGCAAGGTTCCACCAATTTCGCATAAAGAAACTCCTATAGACAGTTAAACAACTTTGTGGGTCGAACAGCTACTGTATGTGTATGTAGAGTATCAACACACGTCTATTGTTTATTCTTTATGTGTTCTTCTGGTTCATCCTTTAATTAGCTTGGCTCAAGAGATGAGTTTTGTCTGGAACAGATGCTCAGTCAGGTTGGAATCTGATGGTTAATTAGTTTTTAACTCGGTTAAGGACTGCACACAAGAACACGTGAAAAACGCACATGCACGCAAGCTCTCACATTCACTGTCAAAACTAATAAGGACTCAGTGAGCCTGATTTACGGAAGGTTTGCAAGTGCAGCAAATTGTGTGGTTTTCTTTTTTGGTAGCTTGTGGTAAATACTGCAAATGCTGTTTACCCTTGCTGCAAATACTCTCCTAAACTGTTCGCTGCGCACACTATATGGCCAGCGTCAATTTGCCTTCTGTAACCGAAAATGCTAGGAATACAGAGACTGTCGAGCAAGATAATAACGCACCAGTTGCCAATCTTCGAGGAAGACTGATATCCGATGTCTGTTGTAGTTCATCTCGACAATGACGGACGGCGTTTGATGTTGGAGCTGTGCTTGAGACAGTCATGTCTTTTCACACCAAACTCACCACACCATGCCTTTTAAGAGCCTTATTTTGTGTGCCGGGGTACCGTTAGACTCCAACAGAAAGGGCCTTCTTTGTCTTGGAGAGAAGAAGATTCACTTGTGAATAATTAATTCTACTGAATGAATTCTGAAGGGTGGAGCATGTTCTGCCTCACATTTCAAGATTTTGGGTTTGAACACAGGTTTTGACCTTTCTGTGTGGTGTTGCAAGTTCATCCTCATTAGGTTCAACTACAAGACTTGTTGACGTGCCACTGACAGCAAAGACAATATTCCACAAAAAAAACACTGTAAATAGACCCCTCCCCCAAATCTATTTCCTTCCACTCTCGCTGGTTATAAATGTTGCAGGTGCCTTCATGTATATTCTATGAACCTTTGGTTTCCTCCCAGGCTTGTTGTTCAACCAATGGTGCATCCACTCTGGTCTCACATCGGTCTCAACCCTTGAAGACTCTTATTAACATGTACAGTAGTATAGAAATATGCTCTTAGTTTTCCTGTCTTGAGGCTTCCCTGTGGATTGCTTACAATGACCTAAAACCACAGTCTTCCTCGTCCAATAGCTTCATGAGAAAAGATTTAACTTAAAACAAAAAAACATGATGTCAATACCAAGAACTTTTAACCTCTGAAAAATATTTGCACTTACTTTAGCAAACTCAAGAGCACAGAACAAAAACAGCCCACTTGCTTGAAACCATCTCTTATGTTGTCGTGAGAACTTTGAAAAAATGATAAGACCCAACAAATGAACTTGACAGTGTGTTTGGCATGAGCAGGCTATTGCTTTAATAATTTCCAGTTGATAATTTAGGTTTTTCACAATTCTACCCAATTTCAAAATATGGAGCAGCATCACGAAAACATTACATACATGCATTTCTTTCTGAGGGCCGAATATCTTATCTACCCATGGCCAAAAAAAAAACCAAAAAAAAAACTCATCCCTTTTATTGTCATCTTTCCACATACATGGACTTTGACCTCATTTAAACCAACACCGATGTGAGCACAGTAAACACACACTTTTAGTGTTACTGGATTGCACACAAGAAAGCTTTCCAGGGAACCCAAGCCGCTTGACAATTGACACTATCATCCATCCATCCATTTTCTGAACCGCTTTATCCTCACAAGGGTCGCGGGGATGCTGGAGCCTATCACAGCCATCTTCAGGCAGTAGGTGGGGGACCCCCTGAACCGGTTGCCAGCCAATCGCAGGGCACACAGAGACGAACAACCAACCACACTCACAGTCACACCTAGGGACAATTTAGAGCGTTCAATCAGCCTGCCAAGCATGTTTTTGGAATGTGGGAGAAAACCGGAGTACCTGAAGAAAACCCACGCAGGCCCGGGGAGAACACGCAAAGTCCACACAGGAAGGCCGGAGCCGGGTTCGAACCCACGACCTCTAAACTGTGAGGTTGACGCGCTATCCATTGGATCACCGGGCCTATCATGGCAAGCAAAATAACACGTTATCTATCAAAAATGCATATTATATTGTTGCAATATTTCAAAGCTCAACGAAAGCCTCATTTGTGAGCCACATTTTTGCCACAAGTAGATGTTTCAAGTCGATCAATCCTCCCACCATCTATGCACACAATCTTGAACCCACTCGCTCACAGTCAGGACCAAACACTTTCCATGGGTCTCTAACATCATTCATAAATTCATAAACCATGGATATATGAGGGCATAATACTCGCACCCAGACCTCTGCAACAAGGGTTTTTCAATCGGAACCTAAATGCAAACGTGAACGATTTGTGAGGGAAATAATTATTTTGAGAAAAAGTCCAAAATACAGACAAAAGGTAACATATATTTCCGGCTTAATGTGACACTGCACCTAAATTTACATTTCAACTGGAATATCCAATTACATCTGTGATATATTTCCAAGAAAATACATGCAAATGTGATCTCAGTCCTGAATGAAACAATTTATAAAAAAAGTAATCCAGCAATGAACAGAAATCGTTTGCAGCCAGGAATCTGGGAATGCATACAGGAATAGGGGACAGATAATGCTCTCAGCGAATGACATGTCTCTATACTCAAGTGTGAGTCCTTTTACCCTGTGATGTTCATTGAGGTATGGATAGGTTTTACAATTGGTCATTTCAAATAAAACAGGACAACGGGGACATGGCAAACACCTGCCATGGTTTGATATGCTGCTTGTGACACAATGCCATGGTGGCGGGGTGGTGGCAGAGGGCACTTCCCAGGTATAGTTTGGCTTTGAAAATGTTCAAAAATGCCTGTCTTTCCACTTCAATGTGTAAGAAATAGCCAATACTGTATTTCCCCTCAGTACTTTCAGGTCCCAAAGATCCTCCATATCTGCTCTGTTAAAAACCATTGGGTTTTTTTTCAGCTATTAACTTTACCCATATGAAATATATTTATCCCAGTAATATCATCTGACTGATTTGACTGAACTTTGACGACAGGTTTACATGGGACGGAGGAACGCAAGAATGCTATTCATACAGCACCGTACAAACTCAGCAAGGAACAACACAATTAAAAAGGACTTTGTAGAATTGGACCACTTGGACTCATTTAAAAAAAAAAAAAAAAAAAGTGGAGTATGTCCCAAAACAGGCGACTGCAGCTGTTCTACTGTCATGCAGTTTCCACTGAGCAGCCTTTGTGAGACTCCACTGAATGCCGGCGGGATGAGGTTCGTTGCGGGGGCTACTGTTTATATAATACTTTGACTGCGTAAAGCGCAAAAACCTTTCTAGACACGCGTCATATGGCAACCTTTAAACACAACAACACTTCCTAGCTGATAGTTTGTTTTGAATGGAATAACTTGTTCTCATGGGGCTGTCTGTTTTGAAAATTGCAAGTGATGTGATCAGAGAGATAGAAAAAAAAAACAACACTGCTTAGGGCTGTGATGGATGCGAGGAGGGGTAGCTGAAGACTCAGCCGAGTCATTTAGACACAATTAATAATGCATCGTGTTCCTATCTACAGCAGGAAGACACTCTCTCTCTCGCTCTCTCTTGTTCCCTCTCTAAGTCAAACACACACACACACACACACACACACACACACACACACACACACACACACACACACACACACACACACACACACACACACACACTTTTGCATTAGTGCAGTCTACTGAATCAAATTGGAGCTGAAGCAACCTGCTCGATGTTATAGCAGCATGACCAGATCTGAGGCCAGCTGGATTTGAAGGACAATGGAAGTTTCTTCAATTGCTATTGCATTTAGTGTGTACATTTCCCCCCCAAAATTGAGTCATGGTCATTAGTGGAGCTCCTTCACTGTTGGTCTATTGTCCACGCCCATCGCGCAACTTAACAGGATGGGAGCGAAAGCCGCCTCACTCACAATGTTGCTTATGCTATTTTAACCACTTAAACATGAGGTCAGTCTCACGCCTCTCGTTAATCAAAGATGGAAGGTAACGAAAATAATGAAAACATTGAATCCCATCCATCCATCCATTTTCGACAGAGCTTGTCCTCATTTGGGTCAATGCGTCAGCTGGGTGTCTGAGCGAACGCTGGACATGTCACTACTCAGTGACAGGGCATATTGACAATCATTTATGCTCAAATTCATCTTGGCAATTCAGAGACTTTAAATCTTTCAGAATAATAATTATTATTTTTAAATGAAAGCAGTCAAGAGAAATATAGCATACAAATGATCTTTGATAGAGTGAAATTGTGATTGGAGAGTCAGTACAAAAATAAATTCCTGCATGTTACCTTCTGTCAAGGAAAAGGTTTCGATGAATACGGGCTTTCATTAAAATGCAAGACTTCAAATACGAGTGTACCTTTTGTTGTGAGAGGAGACTGACGGGAGGTTCAAAGAAACAATAAAGTTCCATTTAACACAAAGCCTTGTTAACATATTCATGATGTAAAAGAAGGACGAAAAATATGTTTTGATTATCTACATTGCTTATATAACAATGGCACACAATCTTTGCCTCTTGTGCTCTCTGCCAACACGTTTGACTTATTGTCTTACTTCAACACGATATGAAATGGCCTAAATGATGTTTGGCTTGTTTCCAAATAATTGTATATAGTGATGTGCAGAATATAGGTGCGGGTTTTTTTAATTCATCACATTAAATAAAATAAGAAGTATATTGCATGCATCATCATCTCAACAATATTGGCATTGATTTCATCCTTTGGACAGAACAAAATACTTGAAATGTTTGTTTTGCATTCCATACAACTTTGAACTCCAATAATGCTTCAATAAAGACACATCACATGCCTTTCAAATTAAACACATTCCAAAATAGTTGACTTACCAGAAAGGAGTCAAACAGAAGTTTACGAGTGTTCAGTGGTGTCACGATGTCACAATAAATCTATCTCATAGTTCAGTAATCACCCTAAAATCGGAATAATGTACGTACAGGGAGCATCACTTTGACTACACAGGCAGCACGCAAACAAGAGCTGAGGGATTAGAAAAGCAAAGGATGGATCTAGCCTCTCTCTCTCTCTCTCTCTCTCTCTCTCTCTCTCTCTCTCTCTCTCTCTCCCTCTCACTCGCTCTCTCTCTTTGCAGCAGTCCTCTGTGCTGCATCCTTCCTATCTGAACCGCAGTGGTACAGTCTGCCTCTCTCCTGTATTATGTGCAAGACTATTCCATTTGTCTTGCTGCAGGGGGAGTCCAGGAGTGAGGAAGGAGGGCGTGTAAGGGGGAGGTGGTGGTTTGAGAGAAGCAGATGGGTGGCTTGTGGGAGGGGGGGGGGAGGGGGATGGTTGGAAGCGGGGAGGGATGAATAGAAGAGGAGGTGGAATAAGCGAGTGGGGCTGCCCAGTGACAGATGTGTTGACTTAGGGTGAGATGCTTTCTGCACATTGATGGGGAAAGTCCTGCAGATTTGCACAGATATAAGTCTTTTACTCCTACGTGCGTATGAATACAAAACTGCTTATATGCATTTTCCGTATTTGGTTTCCCAAGTTTTACAACATACGAAACACAACACACGCTGAGCACAGATCTCCAAACAAGGGCAGACAATCCTGATTCATCAATTAATCATACTTATTATCAAACTAAAATGGAAATTGTTATTCTTACTATTATGAATGATGATGATGATGATGATGATGATGATAATCTTCATCATCATCACCGTCAATCATCATTTAGACGGGATAATCCTACACTGGGGGAGAAAAAAAATCCTATTTTATTTTGTTTCTGTCGTTTCTGTGTTTTCATTTAAAAAAACTGTTTTTATTTGGTCTTAGGAAACATTTTTTATCATGTTTGCATTTTTTTTTTATAGATCTGTACCACACTTTGGCTCTCTATAACAAAGTACCTACGGATACCCATTTCACTAATGTTCAATCTGGCCCATTAAAAAAAACTGGCTGTGTTGTATGTCTCTGCTTATGCCATCTCAGGCACAGGTCTATAAAAGTAAGGTTTATTATTATTATTATTATTATTATTATTATTATTATTATTATTATTATTCATTCATTGATTCATTTTCCGATCCGCTTTATCCTCACAAGGGTCACGGGGGGGGGGTGCTGGAGCCTATCCCAGCTGTCTTCGGGCAGTAGGGGGGGGGACACCCTGAACCAGTTGCCAGCCAATCGCAGGGCACACAAAGACGAACAACCATCCACGCTCACATTCACACTTACACCGAGGGACAATTTTGAGTCTTCAATCAGCCTGCCATGCATGTGAGCGCGGATTGAACACAAGACCTCTGCACTGTGAGGTCGACGTACAAACCACTGGACCACCGGGTCGCCCATATTCTTTTTCTTCTTCTTATTATTATTATTATCATAGTAGCTATTTTTGTGTTGTGAAATGCCAATGTTGAGTTGCTTATCACTAAGACATTAAAAATATGAATACACACTGATGTCATTTTTGTTTGATTGATGCTCCGTCTTTCTTGCACATGAGGCCACGTCTAGATTCCTACATAACGGGTTTAGACTGTCATGTTGCATCACTGTACGGCACGTGAGAATGGACATATTACATTAATGTGGGCAACTAAAGAGGCATTTGAACCTTTTAATACAAGAGTCCATGGGAGAAATCTAAAATGAATAGAAATATGCTTTTCCTTTCTCTTTTCAATTCTGTAGTTGTTGGATCTGGTCGCGCTATGTCCGGCCATCCACCATATTGTATATGGCTTTAATATTAGCCATAAATTCAGCCAATAACATCATAAAACTGAACTCGGATGACATGATACAATCAAGGGCAATAATTCCACATTGCACTTTTTGCTTGATGACACCTCTCCGAGGAGGAAGAATCTTCACATCCATCTGACGCTTTTTTTTTTTTTCGAGGGATAGTCAAACTGGGATGGAGCCGCTTTAAAAGTACGAGGACGGACGGGGACGGAGGACGATTATTATATGAATAAGGATGGAGGGACGATGACTGCAGGACCCGGCAAAATAGGGTAAAGTGTCCATATCTGGTAACAGCATACTCAAGTACAGTATGTCACAATGGAAACAATAAGGTCACATGGCTGTTGTTGCATCTATGCTTCTCGAGCATCTTCAGCCAAGTGTGAATGTGTGTAAAAGGATGAGAAATCATCAGCACAGAGGGCATGAACACGAACAACTATTGTGTGCTAATTACAACTATTTTCACGCAAGTATGAAACGTACACACGCAAGCACGTGTATTCATGCACATGCATACGCGCTCACACACACACACACACACACACACACACACACACACACACATGACTACTGTGCTGTTCACTTCGCCTTTGGGATGCAAAAGTGAAAAATTACAAAACATGTAGAGTCTACATGTACTGCAATTAGAGTCTACATTGATGTTCAGAACGAGTCTGTTGTATTAAATGCTGCAATTTGCAAATGTTCTTATAATTATGTTCCAGTACACGAAGACCAAATAAAAAATGTAATAAAAAACTAAAGTAAAATTTTGACAAGGTCGTTTTTGGCATATGTATAGTTAGAGCTCTTTAAAAATTCTCCGTGTCTTATTTATATAGTGGAAAATGTAGGGCACATTAAATCTTACTGCTTTGAATGTGTGAATGTGTCTCTTTTTAATCAAAGATTTCTTCTCTTTTCTCTCACAATATTTTAATTTAAAGACCCCTTGTTGAGGTTTGAGCCTGAAAAAAATAATAAGCATTGCTAAACACCACAAAAACAGCTCAAGCAAAAATAGTGTTTTAATTTTAAATGACAAAGTATTTCGGGCTGTCCAAAAATCCATCTCTCAAAACCATTCTGATTTCATTTTGCCTCTGGGTTTAAAGCCATCAAATAAAGCACTGCAACCCTTGATGACCCATGAAACATGATGAATTTCGTATTTGTGACATTATACTGAGCTCAATCACCGACCACATTGTTCCAATGACACCATTCCTTTGAGACAGTGTGGAGTCAGTCAATCATTTGAAGGAGGAAGTTGTGTGTATAACCAAGCACACACATGCAAAGAAGGGAGGGAGGGATCCTTCATTAATCCCAGTGGCAGAACAGCACAAAGCTGGTGGTACAGGATTAATCAGTGTCTTCAGTCTGCCGGTCAACCGAACATTCTGTCGATGTGAAAATGAAATGCAAATGAAAATCAATCACCCAATTTCATTTTCTGTGAATTCTGTAGAATCGGGGTGTCCAAACTTGGTCCTCGAGGGTTGCTCTCCTGCATGTTTGATACAAAGTACGTCCCCCTCCTCCAACACACCTCATTCAAATGATCAGGATCGTTATCGGGCTTCTTCAGAGCTTGCTGATCAGCTGATCATTTCAATCAGGCCCTCGCAGACCGGAGCTGGACATGCCTGCTCTCAAAGGCCATATAGCCCCATTCAGTCTGTAGTTGTCAGATAGCGATGGTCAAATGATTCATGTGGATGTTTTATTGAAATCAGTGTAAACTTTGACATTACCTTATTCACCCAATGATGATTGCAAGCATCCATGGAGGGAAAGTGAACAGCTCATTCACACATTGATGTACATATCATGACCAACGTAACAAAAAAAGGAGCCTCATTAAGTTAACCTTACAATCTTTTTTAGCTGGCAATCACACATTTGCATTGTTGCTAAAGCCATTGTCAAAGGTGAAGGAGGTGGTAGGTGCCAAACTAGAAAGCTAATCTTTTCTTAAGGTTTTCATGATAGAAGTTACACATACTTCACCACTACTTCATACATACTCAAAACCACACTGTTGCACAATGTTCAATGAAAGCACAGTATTGTAGTAAATCAGGACCAAACTTACCATTTTTACGCAAAATATTACAAACAAGTTTTTAATCAAGTCGTTGACTTTTTAGCCAATTGCAATATTTTCTAAAAGTAGCAGTCAGTTTTAAGTTAAACCACAGCAAGGCTGCCCTTGTTAAGATTTTAAATGATTTTAGGTGTAATTTTGATTGACACACCATTGGTTTAAATAGACTGAAAATATCTGGCTGCTCTCTTGGGTGCTGTACACAAATGTTTTTTATCCTACTTCACTGAGAGAACTTTTATGGTCAGTTTAAATCAGTGGTTCTTAACCTGGATTTGATCAAACCCCAGGGGTTCGTTGTTAACCTTTGCAAATCTTGGTATTTTGTAAGCTTGATGATGTGGGTGATGCTTTGTGACCTGCAATGATTTTTAGTTCACAGGTGTGTATTATCAAGGATTAATAAAGCGAATTTCTTGATCCTGTGTGGCCATTTAAATTTGACCGCGTATCCAAACCTTTGACTGGTGCCGCGTGTGTGTGTGTGTGTGTGTGTGTGCGTGTGTGTGTGTGTGTGTGTGTGCGCGTGTGCCCACAGTAAATATATATATATGTAAAATTAATGTAATTTTAAAAAGTAATTACAGTACAATTAAAAAGCTTAGACTACAGGGAGTGTGCTTATTTTGCCAGATTCGTTTTTTTTTTTATTTGTTTCTTTCATTATATAAAAAATTTATTCCTTGAGGATACATGTTAAATCCATCCGTCCATTTTCCAATCCGCTTTATCCTTCCTTACGAGGGTCGCGGGGGGTGCTGGAGCCTATCCCAGCTGTCTTCGGGCAGTCGGCGGGGGACACCCTGAACCGGTTGCCAGCCAATCACAGGGCACACAGAAACAAACAACTATTCGCAATCACATTCACACCTAGAGACAATTTAGAGTGTTCCATTAACCTGCAATGCATGTTTTTTGAAATGTGGGAGGAAACCGGAGTGCCTGGAGAAAACCCACGATGTCACGGTTGATTTGTTTGGGACCAACAGGTGGCTCTGGAGGGCTCCTCCTACAGCGGTACACCTGTTGGTCATCATGTCATGAGTAGGTTTTCTGTTAAAAGGACTCCTGGCCCGACACTCGGCGTCAGGTCATTGTTGCTGTTTCTGTTGCCGATTTTGTTCCTGTTAGGGTTTTGCTTCTGCCATTGTTTGTTACTTGGGATTCCTTTTGTTTTCAGGACTTTGTTTGTTCCGGATGTTTTCTCAGTGTTTTGTTAATACAGTTTGCCAAGTCCACCCTGCTCCTCCCTCTTGCCTGCTTTTTGGGGTCCTCTACCACCGACCATGACACATGCAGGCACGGGGAGAACATGCAAACTCCACAGAGGGAGGCC